ATTATCGGCTAGCGTGTTGGGATCTATTATAAAGTCTATGAGCCGGGGGCCCTCCTGGGCTGGCCGGGTGGCCCTCGTCAGTGAGTTATTGCCAGTGGTGGCGTGCAGTGGTTACCGACACAGGTATTTGTGAATTTAAAGATATTCAAATTATAATTTTTTGTTGTATAAAATTTTCTATGCCCGTATGGGGATGTAGGTAATGAATTATTAATTTTAATTTTAAAATTACTGTTATAAATATTTGTTTCATAAATTTGTTCAACAATTGTTTGAAATTCTCAATTAAAAATGTTATAATTAAATATCAACTCACTGAGTCGTACATGAATAGGTGGTTGATTTGACACATGTGAAATGGTGCTTGTTGGGGTGTTTAAAGATCTTGACTGATAAGCCAGAGGTCGTCTGTTCGATTCCCACCCATGACAAATAATTGTGTGATGAAAACAATCATTTGTTCTGTGTCTGTATCTTGGTGTAATTTATCTATTTATGTATGTATATATTTAGAATAATATAAGTATGTTTATCAGCAGTTTGGTTACCACAGTACAGGCTCTGCCTAGTCTATGATCTGATGAATGTGTGCGGTTATTATTATTATAATTAAAAAGAAATAGATTACAGTGACTGTAATTGTCGGTGTATAACCGTTCGGTTCTAAACGGTTGAACCTTTTGAGAAGAAATTAGGCAAACTTGTACAATGCAATTGCAGGAAGTGTTAATAAATAATAATATTCTACTACATTCACACAACGTCATCTAGTCCCAATCTAAGCAGAGCTTGTACTATGGGTACTAGACAACTGATATAAATACGTATATACTTTTTTTTTGTAAATACATACATATTATACATAGAAACACCCAAACCAAATCAAACATTAAATGTTCATGCACACAAATGCTTGACTTGAGCGGGAATCGAACCCGCGACCTTTGGAATAGCAGTCCGTTACACAAACCACTACGCCATTCGGTCGTCAAATAAAAATAATAATTAGTAATCTTAATACATCGTAAACATTCGATAGGCAAAGTATCAAAAATGTCACCATTTTATCCCTGTTCAGCACTCAGACGCCAGAAAATGCGTTAGCAATGCAGTGACGTGACATGACGTTTCGTGTATAGTAAAAACTGTGATAATTATACTTTAGAAGTACATAAAAACATGAATATTTCATGACAGCAATGTTTTAATCTGTAATAATGGCCAGGCGTAAATACTTGAAACAAACCCTTATTGTTTTCTTTTTTACGTGTGGAAAACCTCCCGGCCGTCACCCTACCGGGGTTTGCGGTGGGGCGGTGTGTCGGAATCGGACCGACTAAAACCACATGGTGTGCCTCTCTTCACCTGAAATAGGAGGGATCCTTAAACTGCTGTTATAAAGACATCTGTAGTAGGCCATGACCTCCGTTTTAAGAAGAGGTCTAAATCCAGCAATGGACTATAAAAGGTTGTTGATGATGATGATTATAGTGATAAATGATTACCGGTACACCAATTCTTTTTGCTGTACAGTTCTCGGCATAAGTTGTGACTTAGGTTTGAGTGTGATCTTGAGGTCCAGTAGTTTCCGTATCTTGATCATTGTTACCGTGTTCTTCTTTTGCTAAGAACATTTAGGATAATTCGATCACTTTTTTCTGGATCATAGACATACAACTGTACTACAAAATTGCACAATGATCGGTTGAGTAGTTGAGGTGTGAAACCGTAACATACAAACCTACATTACCGTTTTATAACATTAGTTAGGTTACAGCCGGCTTATGCGTTAACACCTTTAATGACTGTTAACTACATGGCTGACTAGTTAGCGCCTTTAATCACTTTAATTACAAGTAGTCTAGATACTCGTACCAACAAAGAAACTCATATCCATATTTTTTTAAAGATAACTCCGCATTAGGAATATATCCTGTGTCGCGGGGGACTTTACAAACATACATGAAACGGACAAAACGGACACACAACAATTCATAATAGTTGTTACGATATCTTTGTGTAACATTGCAGTTAGTTATGTCTGATTTATTTTATGGCTGGCTTGTTTGGCAAACGGGCAAATAAAGGAGGAAACTAAAATGGGTAAGGGAAGGAAGCTAGGCTAAGACATATGGAAATAGAAAATGGGAGTGCGGAAGAGGCCAGTCTTTTACCCATATGTCCGCCCTGTGGCGATTAGATTTCATTGGAGTAGGTATTGTGGCGACTTCGAACTACGGAGTATCTACTGATTCTGTGTCGCGCAATTAATATTCTGAGTACTTCCCCCTTTTTTTTTTTCCGTGCGGAAATCCCCTCGGATACCACCTGTCGGTGGCATGTCGGACTCGAACCGACTAAAACCGCACGCCGTCTCGGGTACTAATAGCCGGGGAACCAGGTATACCCTAAAAAGGAAGTCCCTGGTACCCCGACATACCTCGGGTCATCTTCAGACGAGTAGACGACCCCCCCCCCCGTGTGGGAACCCCATGTTCCCTGTGCTCCCTGAAAGCGAGCGCGCTTCGCAACGCGCTCGCCGCCACCCCGGCCTGCTTCTGCTAGGGTGACAGATGGCCTCACCTGTCACCCCCAGGCCTGCGCTTACGGAGGACGGAGGTCGTTCTGCGACCTCCGGCGCCTGAGTCGCCTGCGGTACCTGGCCCGTTCCCGGGCCTGGCGGGCCGGGAGAGTCCTAAACCTCTCCCGGTCCCGCTCTGCCGTCTCCTTCGCGAGCATAACTTGCTCGCAGAAGGAGACGGCAGAGTTCCACGCACTCTCGCTCCGCACGATAGCCGCAATCAGGCTCTGAGTACTTCCTCTGACTAGCTGCCTGTGTCGTAAATGCATAGCCTAAACCGCTGGGCCTAGAAACTTTATATTTTTGCAGCTGATGATTTTTAAGTGGTGAGCACCCATTAAAGTTTTTTAGAAATTGCACAACTAAGGGGATAAAATAAGGGATGAGCGGTTTTATGAGAGTTCGTCATTTTTAAAGTTAGAAACACGGTATAATAAATAATAAAGAATCACGCAAGCAAAGCTAGTTATATATACAACTTCTCAACAAAAACTTTTGGGTCTTTGCTTTTAACAATATTTATTGGACATCTAACACACAACGCCATCTAGTTTCAAACTAAAGAGAGCTTGTACTATGAAAGCTAGATTGCTGACAGAATACTTGTCTACTTTTTTTTGTAAATACATACATAATATACGTAGAAAACACCCGAACTCAGAAAAAAATATTTGCAGATCATACAAACATTTGGTCCGGCCCGACCATCAAACCGGAGACCCCGTTGCTCCCCACTGTTTTGATATAGACATCAACTGACCGTGGCCATGAACGACGGTCATGATCTTGTAAACAAATCTTGATACTAGGTGACCAAGTTGGAGATGTTGGAGTAACGCCAATACATTTTTGGGACTTGGATTTATGCCCATAGCAATAAATTCTTTCAACTTGTTTTACTCATGTTTTATTGTCACACTATTAATTGTCAGTTTTATTGACTTTGTTGTTGTAAAGTGCATAGTAAAGTCGATTTATTTATATAAAACGCTTTGTGTTGTGTTGTTGTGGATAATCGTAGGAGCTGTGTGGTTAATTTGTTGTGTGTTATACCAGTTTTTTGTGGTTTTTGTGTCAACGAGATTGCTGTAAGTTGTTCATCCCCTCCAATTTTGTAAATGTGTTATAAATGAGCGTAAAATATGTATTTTTAAATATTTTTTAGTTTTGTCAAAAACATTTGATAATTGTAACAATATCTTTGTTTCACTTTTAATGACAAAGGTTATACTTTAAATATTATTATATTGTTCAGTGGTACGTATTTATTATTATTTATTTCTTTAACCGACTTAAAAAAAGAGTAGATTCTGCTTCACAATTCGGTTGTAAATTTTTGGTTTATGTTTGTTACCCAAAGCCTTTGTAAGGAGAGGCTTATGTCCAGCAGTGGACTGTTAAAGGCTGTTGATGATGATGATATTTATTACCTCAGAACTCCATTAGGATGAACTGATTTTGAAGAATATTTTTTATATTAGAAAGGGTTAATTCTCGTTACGTACTGTTCAAATTTCAAGAAAAAAATCACCCCTGAGGGTCAAAATGAAGGACTGAAGAAAACAGTTTAAAATTCATATTTATATAATAAGTATAAATGATAAACTTCTTCTAATCATGATGCAGGTGAAATGAATATCGATTAATTAATTATTTTAAGAATTTTAGTAACGGTAATACATGTTGTTCTAGTGTTCTTGTCAACCCTTTCAGCTAAAGTTAGTTCTTTTATTAGGGGTGGGCTTACGTCGGTAGTGCTGGGTGGGCTCGAACTCGCAACCACTTGACCGCGAGTCCAATCTCTTCGCTATTACGCAACCGTCACAGTAGAGGACTCGTTTCTTTATTCAGACGCTCCGTTATATGTTATGATGACGCTGACTTGTTGAGAAAGTTCCTTCCTGAAACGCAGATCACTAGGTTATAGATGCGACCTCGTGTCTGCCAGAAAACTTGCCCGTTGTTTGGGTTCTCCCTCGCACTCTAGCATAACGTGGGCAGCTATTTTTTTTTTTTTTAAAGACAACTCCCGCACTAGGAATAAATCCTGTGTCGCGGGGGACTTTACAAACATACATGAAACGGACACAAAGAACACCCAGGCTCAGAACAACAATTTGTGGATCACACAAAGTGTCGTCCCATGTGAGGTTTGAACCCACAACACTCGACGTAATAGGAAGCGGCGTGGCGACCGCTTAAACCACTACGCCATCTGTGCAGTCAACTTTGGCGTTGAGATATCTTCTGCATACTCTGTCATGTCTGGTCTATCGCATTAATGATGAAACAGTTCGATAGAGCATTCGACAGCAAAGAAGTCTTTGGTTCCCACAAATTTCTATAAATTATTTTTTTACAAATCTGGTTCCACATGTATTAAGTGTAAGTTTATAATATTGTAAATATCATTGTCCAGGTGCACAGTTGCTACGGTGAAGAGTTGGGGTTCAATTCGGACGAAGAGGGGTACAACCGAGATCCACCTGACGACGTACCGTCCTTGGCGCCAGACTCTATCTCCGACGTGAGTACATTTATATATTTTGTTACTAACACATGACAATCCTAACTTGATAATAATACTTATGTACGTAAGTAGAAGAAGAAGAAGTTCTATTCATAAAAGACACTAGCTGCGCCCCGCGGTGTTACCCGCGTTACATAATATTTTTTGACCAATTTTGAATCAAATATATTTTATTTTTTTCGGGATAAAAAGCCTATGTGTTAATTGAGTTTGTCAGCTACCCCCATAACAATTTTTTTAATAATCGGTCTAGCCGTTTGAGCTTGAACAAGTAACAAATATACAAACAGTGGCGGATTTACCAGCAGGCTGAGTAGACTGGAACCTTTTTTTTCCTCCCGATCTCCTCGGATCGCGCGTAGGTCCGCCAACTCCTGGGACCACCAGTAGACCTCCTTTGGGCAGGCCTCAGGGCATGGCCGCATCGCAAATCTGCGTAATTGCATCAGGAAACCCACAACGAGTAAATGATGGCTGCCTCCTCTAGTAGGTCCCATTTCGGCTTGGCAACAGGCAACCGCGGGAATCGGGAAGAACGCCGCGCCGCTTGACCCCTACCGGGGTCCTGGGTCAGGGAGAGCTCAAAGCGGATATAAAGATGATGCGAGAGCGTCTCAACCTCTGCCGGGCAGGGGTGGCGAATGAAAGGTCCACTATCGACCCCCCTTCGGAATCGTCCAGGCCCGAGATGTGCAGTAAATATAGGAAATCGATCGATTAGTATCATCACTAATTGTATACTTTGAGTGTTTTTAATATCGATTATATTTTAACAGTTAATATAAAAAAAAAAGTATATTTAAAATAAAAACCTGAACGCAGCCTTATGCATAGCTCTCAGCTAAAAATTAAACCATTTTTATATAAACACCTGTTGATAACCACAGATAAACAAACATAGATAAATATTAAACAAGCCAAAGTATCATTTAGTAATCTAAGTTTCGTCGCTCGTATCAGTACATGCGAGATACCGCGATAAGTGGCCGAGTGTGTCACTGCCATGATCAGAAAATTAAAAAAGAAAGTAAGTGTAAATATATAAAATGTACCCTAAGTGGACTCTGTCGTATGGTGATAAGTCACAATTTTGTTCAAACCGTTTAGTATTTCTATCCTTTTCTAATATGCGTGTACTATATAGAGTATATATACTGTATGTTTAATCATAGAGTTAAGTAACCTATTACCTCAATGTGTTTACTAAATATTATTGAGCAAAAACATTGTTTGGGAAGCTGCGTGACATTTTCTTGTCCCAAATACTAAAGTGTCTGAAGACGAAAGGTTTTGACCAGTGTGTATTGCCTGTGATAACTTATGACACAGAGACGTGGTCGCTTACAATGGGCTTTATAAGAAGACTGTCACCCAAAGAGGAATAAGGAGCTCCGCAGACGAACCAAGGTCACTGACATTGCTCAGAAAATCGTCAAACTTAAGTGGCAGAGGGCGTCGATGGGGCCAAAAAGTTCTGGAGTGGCGACCGCGTACTGGAAGACGGAGCGTGGGTTGGCCCCACAAGGTGGTCCGACGACCTAGTGAAGGTCGCGCGAAGTCGTTGGATGCGGTCAGCACAGGACTAGTTGTCGTGGAGAGCTTTGGGGAAAGCCTGTCTCCAGCAGTTGATGTCTTTCGGCTGAGATAAAAGTCATGATTATGTATGTATGTACAAACAAAAGTTTTATAATTGCACATGACTAGTTTCTTTTTTTAAAGACAACTCTCGCATTAGGTATTGGTATATCCTGTGTCGCGGGTTACTTTACAAACATACATGAAACGGACACAAAGAACACCCAGACTCAGAACAACAAGTTGTGGATCACACAAAGTGTCGCCCCATGTGGGGATCGGACAAACAACACTCAGCCTAGTAGTGAGCGGCGTGGCGACCGCTTAAACCACTACGCCATCCGTGCAGTCACTAGTAGTCGTGCTTTGATTAGGCGTTGCTGTAACTTAATTGTGATTGCAATAAAACATCATTAAAATGAGAAAACATATGAATGTCTAGATTATACTACATTTGCCAAGTTATAAAATATTGTTAACATGCTTTTATTAGTTTAACATGTAGCATTTGCTCTAGTGGATAGTGATTCTGACAGCTTAGCACGAGGTCGTGAGCTCGATTCCCAACATGACAAATATTGTATGTGTCAAAATGTTTGACCAGCTGCTCTCAAAAAAAAAGATATTTTAAATCCGAACCAGTAGTTTCTGAGATTATCCCGAACATACAAACTCACAAACTTTACCTCTTTATAATAAAAGTATAGATGATCGCAATCATTTGTTTCTCTACCTGTTTTACCAAGTCTAACTTTGTTTGTATATTTAGTAGGCAGTACTGGAATTAGACATCTTTGAGCTGAGCTAAAATTAATGTGGGTTTTTTAAATACGTCTGTCTGCTGTCTACCTGATAAAGACGTGACTGTGTAACAAAATACTTAATAAAAAAAGATACCGACGAATTGAGAATCTCCTCCTTTTTTGAAGTCGGTTACAAACCTCATTTTTATTGTTTAATGTCATAGAGAGAGATATTTCCGTGTGGTGACGGATTAAGAATACGGAGTGTCACCACACATATTCATCCCGTGGGTGTCATAAGTGCCGACTAAAGGAGTAAACTTCGCAGGACAACAGCACTGCACAGAGAAGTAAATCTTGAACTAAACCCTATCTGGCCACCCTATCAACCCGTCTGGCTAGCGTGGTATAGTAAGCCAGAACCTCCTTTCTAAGGAGATGCCTATGTCCAGCAGTGGACTGTTAAAGGCTGTTGATGAATGTCACTGAGTGTTATACCACGTCATGTCGTCAAGTTGATAAAACCGTAGGAGAACGTTGCTTCAGGACTTATGGGTTAGACCGGGGTCGGCTACGGCCTCACACAAAACCGGCGTTGGGTGAAGTTGCCACAGGCTTAACTACCCTCCTTCTTATTCTAGTAATGGGGTAGGGAGGCAATCGAAGGGTGCACGACGACGCACTTTGTCTTCTGAGTTGCTGGTGTCAATAGGCGATCCCCTAGAAGAATACGCATTATCATAATTTCGCTCGACAGCCTTCTAATCTATTCGAACATCCTTAATTTTATAAAAATGTCAGCAACTTGTGCTTTTGCATTAATATTTTTATCTCCAGCGTCACTTATTGTAAACTTTACTTACATTTTTTTATTCAATATCATAAATCTAAACCTACTAACTACTAAACTGTCCAAGAGCTCATTAAAATTAGTCCTTGACGAACAGGACCTGGTGGATTCGTCTTGTATGGAGGCGAGCGGCGGCGACGCGAGAGAAGACACGCATCGGAGCAGCAGACCGCCTGTCAACCGAGACTCATCTCCACCGCTCGGTCAGTATTTCTACATCAGCATGTAGTCTATTTAGGAGATGTTCTTCTTTCTTTCTTTTCTTAAAGACATGTTACGCAGTAGGAATATATCCTGTGTCGCAAGGGACTTTACAAACATACATGAAACGGACACAAAAAACACCCAGACTCAGAACGACAATTTGTGGATCACACAAAGTATCGTATCATGTGGGGATCGTACGGACCCACAACACTTACTAGTAGTAAGCGGTGTGGCGAACGCTTAAACCACAACGCCATCCGTGCAGTCAGAAACGAACACACTGAACACCCAGACTCAGAACAACAATATTTGTGGAACTTATAACACTCGGCGCAGTAGAAAGAGGTGACCGCTTAAACCACTACGCGATTCGTCTAAGTATCCGTCATAGATGGGAGATGAGAGAGAGAGAGATGTGGATCAGGATTTTAACGTGATAATAATATGAACCTTTGACACCTTACACATACGGCGGTGTCATCCCAAAGTAGTCGAGAGTCTGTACTTGGTTAACTAAACTGTCGATAAACATACTTTTATTATTTAGAACTAAATATCGATGGGTATACAAAAGAATTTTTCAAGATATGTCTGGCTTGTTGGTTTAGTGGTTAATAATATGTATTCAGAAGTCCTTTGTTCTACTCAGGACAAATAATTGTGTAATGAGCACGATCATTTGTTCTGTCTTGAAGTAATTAATCAGTAATATGTACGTAACTAGATATTTATTTATCCGCAGTCTGATTACCATATTATAGGCTCTTGAATGCTGCTTGTCTAAATATATAAATGTTAAATTAGGATATGTACGCGTCAAAAACTCTTTAAGTCCTGCTCTGATTAAACTCCAATTTTTACTCGATATATAAACTGCTTCAAAGATTGTTTTATCTATTTTTCGCGTCAGTTCTGTTAATAATTTTTCATTTATGCAAGCGCAATGTGCCACAGCGAAGCGTGACAGGGTACAGTTAGATTTAAATAAAAGATTCAACTACTTACAAATTATACTTAATTTATATACTTAAAAAATTCTTGTCTTCGATTTGTGTGTTACTTTAAGATTCTCCTGACTTCTTGATTGGATTCATTATAAGATACAGAAGGATTTTTTTCTATTTAATTTATGATCTCATGTAGATTTCATGAACTGTCTTAATCCTTAAAAATATCAGTTGCTTCTTTGTAATATACATAGTAAGCCTGCCATTATTAATATTTTTTTAAACTTTCATCTTGACCTAAGATTAAAAATTGTAACATTGTATATCTATTAAGTGGCTTGGTGCGATACGACATTAAAAGGAATTTACGTACGTTATATATAAACTATTTTCAAATAGGTTTTTTTTTACCGAGGGTACCGTACAAATTTGTAGGTACATATTATAAATAGTTCAGGAATCGAGTCTCGCAGTTTTTGACGAGCTTTTCTATCCAGTTTCCAAAACCTATAATTACTATTAGATTATTGTGTTTTGAAGTGAAATTGTATCGCGATGATCGATTACGTACGTTAAATAAAGACGATATTTTTATGATTAAATTACAAATGTATAGTTTTTTGATTTTTTCCCTGTACTTGTAGTATAAGACGATATGACTTGCCAAATTTTATAGTTTTAAATCAACGGGAAATGTGCGTTTTTGCGGCATAAACGGCCGTACCCTTTTTTACGTTAACTTGTAAGTTTGATTTTTTCACAGCTTTAAGGGTCTGTAAACCTAGTTATAAGGTTTTAATTTTAACTCGATACCCCTACTAGTGCCCGTAATAAAGGGTCTTGACAAACGGACAGACAGACAGACAAAAAGTGTCTGTCTGGCAACAAAGTTAAACTATAAGGGTTCCGTTTTTTATTTTGAGGTACAGAACCTTAAAATTGAGCGAACCTTATAGTAGTTACGTATCTGAAACCTAGCGTCGCACGCGTCATTAGACAAATCAAATAACGCGCACTTCTCCGTCTCTCTGGTACAATACTACCTATCTTTTTCACACAATCGCTCCCAAAGATTGGAGGAAAGCGAACGAAAATATGTTACACATTACAAATTCGAATTGTAAAGTTAAGAGCACCAAAACTATAAGACGGAGTCGGGTACTTTTTTATATCATGTCGGGGAACTCCCGGGAAAGTCCCGTGTGTGAATGAACGATTAAAAGTTGTGCGATATTCTTGGTACCTGATTAGTTCTGCTTTGCGCGTTCGTGGAATGATACGTTATTCAAAATTGGTTTAATTTTAAATTGTTTCGTGAGTTTATTAAAAAAAATCTTTTAATGATTTTCTACTGTGTTATGTTTTTAAAAAGTGAACTCAACGTGTTTTTCTTTCTTAAACGAAACAAAAGAATTAAGAAATGTTTATCAACAGTTCTGAAACATCAAACCTTCAAATAATTGACTGCCGCAATAGTTTGAAAAACACTACTCTGATTTGTAAACTTCATTTAACATTTAATTACGGCAAAAATACATGTTTTGTTCCTTTTTAAATAAATACACGGGTCGGACCAAATGCTTGTATGATCTTTGTTTCGGAGTTTGGGTGTTTTCTATCTATAATATGTATGTATTTACAACAAAAATAGTAGACAACAGAAAGTACAAGAAAAAAGTAAGACCAGACCTTGCACCTACCGACTATTACTTTTTCCAAAATTTAGACAACTTTTTAGTGGGTAAAAAATTCAATTCCCGAGAGGCAGTACAAAATGCCTTTGAAGAGTTTGTTGCCTCCCGTCCAGCTGATTTTTACAAGAAGGGCATCAATAAATTGCCAATGCGTTGGCAAAGATGCGTCGATGGCATGGGTGATTACTTCGAATAACAGAGTTGGGTGAGAGAATGGGTTAATAACAAAATAATTGAAATGTGTAAACTGAAAGACGAAAAACTCATAGAATTAAAAAAAGATACAACAAACAAAGTACTTAAATTAGAATATAATTACGCAATAAATGTAACAAAACTGTACAGAAAACCAGAAATCAATTCTACAAAAAGGAAATCAATACATATAGGGGCAATCCCAAAAAACTGTGGGAAATATTAAATGGGATGACAGGTCGACTGAAGTCCTCTTTGGACAGCATAATTTAATTACTACTGCTACTGCTACTGCTAATTACCACAATAGTTTTGTTGGCATTTAGCCAACAAAACTATTGTGGTAAAACTATAGTCAAAAATTTTGCTAAAGAATTCGAAAACTCAGTAAAAGTTATAGTACCTAAATGCAAAATCTACCTACTCGACCCTAACTCTTATGTCAAAAATGCAAACGTTTCCATATTATTAAAAAACCCCACAAAAACAGACATTCTTAAAATTATTAAAAACATTAAAACCAATAAATCTCCTGGAATAGACAAAATTAAACCAGTAGACATTAAAATCACAGCAGAAAAGTTATCTTATGCAATTGCAAAATTAACTAAAGAAAGTCTGAATAAGAGCTCGTATCGACCAATCTATAAAAAAGGACTACCTAATGAGTACAGCAACTATAGGCCTATTACTATATTACCTATAATTGACAAAGTAGTAGAAACATACATTTGTAATGAAATTCATAACTTTTATAGACAACACCAAATTATATCAGATAATCAGTTCGGTTGCCAGCCTAAAAAGAGTACAACGCAACTACTCTCCAGTTTTACAGATTATGTAAACGGCAGATTAGATGAAAAAAGCATGTTCTCATGGTCTTCATAGATTATAGTAAAGCATTCGACACCTTGAGGCATGACACACTGCTACAAAAATTAGAATGCAGTGGCATACGCGGTCCCCCTCTAGCTTGGTGTGCAGACTATTTAAAAAACCGGTCCTATCACGTAAAGATAAATGAAGACTTCAGTGAGCAGGTTAAAGTTGTGGGGGGAACAGCGCAGGGATCTGTACTAGGCCCTCTGCATTATCTTGCCTATGTGAACGACATGAACAACATCATAAAGAACTGTGTTGTTTATCAGTATGCTCATGATACCTGTCTCATTTCGGCTGATCGTGATATAGAAGTAGCGATGAATCGACTACAAACAGATTTCACGCTTCTAACAAAGTGGTCTCATGGTGTAGGGTTAGTCCTAAACTGCTTCATGTGTCATCGATCTATAATAAAAAGTAAAGTGACTCTGACATTAAATTGATTGCCCATGATGACGACTGTTTGCATGGTAGAACAACTCAATGTAATTGCGAACGCCTTAATAAAGTTTCTCAAACCACGTATTTAGGAGTTATAATAGACGATAGGTTTAATTGGTCTGCTCAAATTGAAACTGTGTGTGATAAACTACGCGCCATTTTAGCAAAATTCTATATACTTAAATATAAAATACCTTTCCCTATTTTGTTAGATATGTATACAGCCTTAGCGGAGAGTATTATACTATGTGGACTCAGTAGTTATGGACGGACATTTCCATCATATCTGCAAAAAAAATCATTCCTTACAACTTCGTTTGTTAAAGGCTATTGTACCCAAAAAACGTATACAATTTAATTATGATGATGAAAAATTGTTTCAATTTTGTAAAATAATACCCGTTCATGAGAAAGTAAAAATGGTGATAATTATAGAAAATTATTTTAAATTAAATAGTAATCTAAAAAAACACCCAATTATGACCCGTCAAATTGTAAATAAAATGCTAACTACCAAAACAGCTAACAACTACTACGGCAAGCGAACTAACGACTACCTCGTACCAAGACTTATAAATGAACTACCATTAGAAACAAGGAATAAAATAGATTTACTCAACATAAAACGAATAGTCAAAAAGATTTACCTACCCGCAAACAGTAAGCTAAAATGAACCTTTACAATTTATATAATTTATAAATAAATACATCTGATATATAATATATGCATATGCCTTTAAAATAATTAATGCACTTATACTATTTAAAAAGTACTAGTTACCAATCACCCTATATAGACTCTTAGCGAACTCGTAAAAGTAGGTGCGAATAACATGCTGTTATCGAACGTAAACAACCATACCGGTCAACAAACGCTTGGAAGATTTGTACGCCTACCTACCCTGCACCTTTTATTTATTGTACTGCTACCATTGTATTTCTATTAAAATTATTGTTATTATAGTGAATAAACAAACGAATCATAAAGGAATGAGGAATGTACACTCACACCCAAGATAAACCAATACGTGTTTTATGGGTGTTTCATGTTTTTATGTTATGCTGTTTTTCTTATTTAAATAAATAAAAAAAAGAACCGTGCGCGAAATTAAACAAAAAGAAGTTAAAAGAATTTTCACACATGTATAATACGTGTCATCTAATATTACACAACAGATAACAAACATAGGAACATGATAATTGTTAATTATTCGATAAAATTTAATAAAATGTTTGTTCTAACATAACTACACTAAGAAACTCTTGAATTTTAACATGATCAATTAAGTTTCTCCGTGTAATGACGAATTAAGAATACAGAATATCACTACCCCAATTCATCCCGCGGGTGTCGTAAGAGCCGACTAAGGGCTCAAAACAACGCAGGACACCAGCACTGCAAAAAAAAGGAAAACTTGACACAAACCCTTTACCAACCCGTCTGGCCAGCGTGGTATAGTAGGCCAAAACCTCCTTTCTAAGGAGAAGCCGATGTCCCCCAATTAACAATAGTAATTATGTATATATTTAGACGGATTGGTACACATATGGTTTGTTTCAAATTTCCCTTCCCTTTGCAGTGATGTTGTCCTGCATAGTTTGTTCCCTTAGTTGGGTCTTACGACACCCACGGGATGAATAAAGGTGACACGCCGTTTTCTTAATCCGTCACGGATAAGATGGCGTGGTATAGAAGGCCAAAACCTTCTTTCTAAGAAAAGGCCTATGTCCAGCAGTGGACTATTCAAGGAAATATATGAGTATGTTTATCAGCAATTTTAGGTTCAGACAACCGTGTATGAGATGTGCTAATGATTATTATTAATAACTAGCTGGTACCCGCGACTTCGTTCGCGTGGCAGTTGAAAAGCGCTGCCTTAGTGGGTTGGATTCCCGGACCGGTCAAAGGATTTTCTGAGAAGAAAAATAGCCTAAGTTACACCTGATATAGACAAATACCTGGTAGTAAAATATTATCAAAATCAGTCCAGCTGTTTAGAAGATTATCCAAAACAAACAGACAGACAAACAGATAAAAAAATTAAGTGTTTTTTTAGACATATGCAAATAACCGTGTGAGCACGAAAAACACCTATTATTTTAACATTACAAACGGACACTTCAATTTTATTTATTTGTATAGATGTATTCGTATAAATATGATGGCAGTGATGCTCCATTCAATACTTAAGATGTTTAACTATTAAATATTTCCTATAATTAAGATTAGGATATTACATGTTATGTGATCAGTGATTGTGAAAATATGGAAGATGAAAATGTGGACTATCTCTACGAATACGTCGTGGTCGAGTCGCCTAAGTCCTGGTTGGACAGCTACGAGATAGTCCAGCCATGCGGTAATAAAAAAAAATGAAAGACATGTTTTAACTTCGTATCTTATTAATAGATTTAAAAGGATCTATTAGTAATTGTAGTAATCAAATCAAAGAAGCGTGAAGTTATGGCGCTGTGCGCGTTAGGCAAATATTATTTGTGGTTGGCGCGCTGTCAATGTCGAACACTATGCAATTTTTTTTCCAAGAGTTAATCTTCCTGCATTTCGTTCTTCTACCTTTGCTATTAAAGAAATAGTTACTATAAAACAATGTTAACCAAGTAATCAACTGACAGATTTCACGGCCTCTTTGCATCAGAACTGCGTTGCGTCTTGTGACACAACGGTTTCCTACGTTTTTAATGGTATTTGTTTACCTGCCTTGCTTGTTAGTTGACAATCAAGGCAGTTAAACAAATACCATTATCATGCATCTTGTATAAGTTTACTCACTTGAGTTATTATATGAAAACATTTTTTTAGTTTTTTCACCGACTTCAAAAAAGGAGGAAGTTCTCAATTCGTCGGCATCTTTTTATACAAAACTTGAATGATTGACTTGATGAATTTATGATCACGAAATGTAAAAATGGAAGTTAATCTACCAATGTCAACGATAAATCCGTGCCAGCTGTAAACTATTATTAGTATAACGAAATAATACAGCACCAACCTACGAGCTCATAAACAATTATCACACATTATGTTAAAACACCAGCGTGGTATAATAGGCCAAAACCTCCTTTCTAAGGAGAGCCCTTTGTCCAGCAGTGGACTGTTAAAGGCTGTTGATGATGATGATGTTAAAACACTAAAAAAACCCCAAGTTTATATACTGAACTGATGTCTTGTGTCCTTTTTTACCAACAGTGACTAATGGTGATACGGATTACCGCGAGGAAGTGGCAGGAGACACGCTGCCCACCGACATGTCTGACTCATCAGACAGCGAACCAGAAAAACCACACAAGTAAGTTACATCATCTTCTTGATCTTTGACCGATTTCTGTTTCGGGTCGTCGTTTTGTGTAACTTTGCAAATGGGTTTTAGTTTGTTCGTTTTATAATGGTTTGCCTGACGCCAATCTTTTTGGGAATGAAACAGTTTTAAGACGAGTCCAATGAAGAACGTAGCTAGATTAGGAATACCGCAAAAGTCAGATAGGAATCGTCACTGAGACTGCATTAGATCAAAAGGGTTGTGCACCCGTAGCATGGTTTTCGAAATTTACTTCAATATCAATTGCTTTCTCGTGGACAGCTGCAAATCAAGAGTTACAAGTGCCTTGCCGCTCTTTGCGCCTCTCTCTTCCCAGAAATAAATGGAGGGGGGTTAAACACCGACTTCCTTTCTGGGGTATACCTGGTTCCCCGGCTATTAGTACCCGAGACGGCACGCGGTTTTAGTCGGTTCGAGTCCGACATGCCACCGATAGGTGGTATCCGAGGGGATTTCCGCACGGAAATAAAAAGGCGGTTAAACACAACCCTAATGGTTTACATCTACTAAAAACACCATCGATTGTAAATACACTGTGTTCGTTCCAGCGGTGGCGACGTAGAGAAATGCACAAACGCACACGAGGGCAAACTGCTCCTCCGCCAGGAGTTCCCCTTCAACATAGACCAAATGTTCACAATGATCTTCACCAACTCCAAGTTTAATCTCGAACTGTTAGCAGCTCGGGGGACAACGGATTATGTTCAGGTAGGAATCTTACTTCTTAATTCGCCATGGTTCATGAAGAAATCTGAATTATGTGATTTTTTTTTTAAGTTTTGCATAAAATATATGTGGATTATAAGCCTTAGAGCATGGCTTAGAACTCAACTTATGCTTATTAACCACTTTTTTCTTACTGTCTTGTCTTCTACTTTAAGAAATTACTTTTGTAAATTTCAAATCAATTTGGTGAAACGAAAAAACATACTGCAGCGCCATCTAACAAAGACACAACGAACTACGGAGTAACTGGTAATCCTGTATCGCGAAATGAATAAGTCTCTCGCCGATTAGCATATATACAACTGCCAGCCCATTCCTCCGCAAATGTATTTATTGGGATATATTCCTTGGTTGTATTCCTAGTGCGAGAGTTATTCAGACTTCTAAATAAGTACACTTAGGCAGGCGTTCAAGTCTGTTTATTCTTTATTAAGTTTAATTTAATAAAAAATATAAATCAACACAACTAACAAAAAATTATTAAAACAATACATAACACATAATATCGTATCTACCTGTGTCGATCCGTGTGGTGACGGATTAAGAATACAGAGTGTCATCACCCCTATTCATCCCGTGGGTGTCGTAAGAGGCGACTAAGGGAGCGAACTACGCAGGACAACAGCACTGCAGAGAGAAGGAAAACTTGATACAAACCCTATACCAACCCGTCTGGCCAGCGTGGTATAGTAGACCAAAGCCTCCTTTCTAAGGAGAGGCCTATGTCCAGCAGTGGACTGTTAAAGGCTGTTGATGTGATGTGATGATGTGTCGATCTATAACCGAACTATAAATGATAGTCATCTGCTCCATAGCACCAGCACTATATCTGATCCCTCTTTCAATTCATCGGGTCATCTGCAAGGCTAACCTTTATAATTGAATTTGGTTGTTTCAGGCACCTTGGCAGGCACAAGGCGGTCTCAAATGTCGACAAATCAGTTACACGCTGGGGCTTACGTCAGGCCCTATAGGGCCCAAGGAAGTTCAAGTCACAGAGACACAGGTACAGGATATAAATTAAAAATCCATAGTACAGCTTAACTGCTTAGCTTAGCTATAGCTTAGCTTACTAAGTAACTGTATAAGTCGGGCGACTATTCCTTATGTAAAAGAGCTAACTTGGCTGACACTTCTAATTCTGAATTTGTAATATATATTAGCATAATGAATTTCACCAGATCTTTGAAGCTACTAGTTAGGCTTGTAGGGAAACGATGGGTTTACAATCAGTGACTAGAAAAAAGGCTTTAAAGGCGGCCATTCTCTTTTTTTTTTTTTATTAGAAGACATTAGGAATATATCTTTTCAAACATACATGAAACGGACACAAAGAACATCCAGACTTAGAATAACAATTTGTGGATCACACAAAGTGTCGTCCCATGTGGGGATCGGACCCACAACACTCAGCGTAGTAGGAAGCCTAGGCCATCCGTGCAGTCATTATCTATTGTTGAAGTACCACAATAAATATATAATTTAAATTGTTAATTTTCTTGAAATGAATTTGTAGAAATTATTATATTTTGTGATTTTACCTATGGGATTATACCTGAAGTAAATAATTATTATTATAATACTAGCTTTGCCCATACCAAATTTCATCTGAATCAGTTTAGCTGTTATTAATTCCCCATACAAATTTCAACCTCCCTTTTCACCCCCTTAAACGATCAAAACTATCCTATGTCGTTTCCCGGGACTCAAACTATTTCTATGCTAAATTTTATCTAAATCGATTCAGCGGTTTAAGTGTAAAGAGGTAATAGACAGACAGACACACTTTCACATTTATAACTTTAGTATGGATTGTAGGTAATGAACAAATGCTCAAAGCCCGGCCAGCTGTACTCCATCGACTCGACGAGTGAGAACGCGGGCATTCCCTACGCAGACTACTTCAGCGTACAGGTCCACTACTGCCTGCAGAGGGTCTCCGAGACCTGCACCGACCTTTCCTTCTACGGTGGCGTCAAGTACAAGAAGAGCATGTGGCAAATGACCAAAGGTTTCTATCTCTAAGTCCTTCCACTCTGCTTTGTCTAACTATCTTACTATCCATTTTTTTAATCCTCACACATTTCCAGCACGGCCGTCTGATCCCAAACTAGGCAGATCCTGCACTATGGTAACCAGACTGCTCATAAACATTCTTATATACTTCTAAACATATATATTGTAGATAAATTACACCCAGACATAGACAAATGATCGTGCTCATCATCCTTTAACAGTCCACGGCTGGACATAGGCCTCTCTTTAGAAAGGAGGTTTTGGCCTACTATACCACGCTGGCGGCGGTCGGGTTGGTATAGGGTTTGTGTCAAGTTTTCCTTCTCTTTGCAGTGCTGTTGTCCTGCGTAGTTTGTTCACTTAGTCGGCGGACGGACAATTCATGTTCGTGTTCATCACATAATTATTTGTCCTGGATTTGAATCGAACCTACGACCTACGCTTATCAGTCAGGATTGATTAAGATAAACTCAAAAAGCTATGTATGTATGTGTCACTTCAGAATATAATTATTTTTGGAGGGACAAAGAGGTCGGCCCATTTGTTCACGACAATCAGGAAATTTATTTTATAAATTATAACTTTTTTAATTTATTTATTTCTTATTTTGGCAGCATTTCTTGAGAAGAACACAATGTCAGGGCTCGAGGATTTCTGTCGGCTGTTGGAGCAACGGCTCGGGGCTGAGGCGGAGTGCGCTGTACCGGCTGCGAGGAAGATCAGAAGACATCGGAGAGTCACCAGTCAGTACTTTTTGAGTGACCTCATAATGTTTTCTAATTTAGAGACGACTGTAGCTTGTATAATTCATACCGCAATGAAGATCACAGAAATACAGAAGGAAAAAAAATATTTTAGGGGGTGAAGAGACAAGTGTTAAACCCAGTGTCCTTTAAAACCTCAATTCTGTTTTACATGTTGAGTCTCCTTGCAGTTTAGCAGGAGAATTTAAAATGAATTCTCTTGGAATCAACCCCTTTTAAGTTTCTCTCCACTTGCCCTATGATGATGTAGAGTATTTTTCTGTTGTGTAGCATCATCCCCTGAGCGTGTGGTGGCCCCGCTGCTCCCGACGGCGAGCCTGTCGTCTCCGCGCCCTCCCACGGTGGTGGTGGGTCGGGGGGCGCGAGGGTCACGCTGGCCCCCCCTGTGGCTGTTGTCGCTGCTGATAGTCCTACTGTTGCTGAACGCGTTGCTGTACTGGCGCCTGTACCACGTGGAACGACAGACCATCGACCTGGACGATTTGCAGAACAGGTTAGATGCGTATGTGTTAACCAATTCTATATATTTTTTTAATTAATTGATATCGGTCGTTACTTCAAAAGTTTTTGTGAAAATTTTAAAAATTTACTCAAATAATGTATGTTTATTTATGTTACCTGTACGAAGATAATATGTTGGTGATTATATGGTTTAGCATATCGATATTGGAAGTTTAAAAAAATAACAACAAAGGTTACAAGCGAACTTATATTTTAGTTCAGTGCATACAGTTCAGATTTGGTTATGACTATTTATATGTATTTTGTATTTATATGTACAGTTATGTGATTTATGTAATAATTTTAATGCAACGTATGGGTTCGATGTAATCAAAAGATGTGAAATTTTATAAATTTATTTGGTAGTAAAAAATAAATCGTACCGAGTTTCGTTTCATGAATTCATTCAGTAGATTCAATATGCGCACGTGCAAGAGACAGATATGCAAGAATCGGACAAAACCTACGTCTGATCCTTCGAGCCAGATGTAGGGGTGGAACCCCGACAGTTAGAATGGTCTCACAGATATATAACACGTGTGTGGTCAGGATGTCCGGCGCGCGCATGTCGGAGTGGTCGCGCCTGCTGCAGCAGCACACGCGGCGCCAGCGCGGCCAGCTGCTCGCCTGGCGCGCCGCGCTCGACGCCACGCGCGCGCACCTCGCACAGGTACCGCTACTACCCTTTGCCAATATTTTGCCACCACATACCCACAAAAATTGAATAATATTAATCGAATTCAGAACCGACTCTCGACGTAGATTAAACGAAAGGTGTGATGCGTGTTAAGACAATTTTGGGCCTTTCTTTGTTTTTTCTTCTGCCGTGTTATTATAAACGACACAAAAGTGGTTAAAAAAATTCATTTATCGTTTTAAATATCTATTTTTTTGTAATTTTATCACTCACTTGACATAATTTAATCTAATTACGGATAATTCTAAAATAAATTATACAAAAAGAAAAGAAATATACACCCTTGTATGAAATAACAGTCCTAAATAATTTAACAAAAAAAAATTAATACTCAATAACAGTAAGCATCAATTTTTTTTTAAACATTTTAACCTATATTTATTAAAACTGTTCAAATCTTCGATCAAATGAACTGTGTAAATGAAAAACGGCGCTAACTCAACTCGACTTAAATTAGAAGTTACGCTCAAAGCCGTTAATGTGACGTTCAACGATACCAAAACATGCAGTAAAAAATGCAAAAACTACACTTTAAAATTGCAATAAAGATGAAGTGTCGTATTTTCGTTAAAAAAAAACCTTAGTTATACCGCAGTGGACTATTATAGATGATGATGAATGGACCGATACGACTTTCACAAATTCAAGAAAAGTGCGCACTCCTTCCTCAAAGGCTTGAGACTCCCGAGTTCATGAGCGGCGTTAGTAGCTTTCCATCAGGTGACACGTCTGCTCGATTTCCCCCAATTGCATTAAAAAATGTAGGTACCCAATTATTACTTCTCTTACAGACGGAACAGGCGCTGACGAAGTTATTGGAGACGATAAAGCCGTCGTTGGAGAAAGAACAGGAGACGAGAGAAGAGCTGTGAGCGACACTTGTCACACGCGGCATGCACCCCGTAGTGTCTTGGTACCACCATTATTTTAATTTTATATTGTAGAAACAACTTGCTGCCTGATTGGTTAATTATCATTTTATTCAAAAATTACCAAAATCTTTTCTAAAGTAAATCGTCGGTCTAAAGGTTCCTTATCGACCCTGCACCTAAAACAGATACACGATTTAAATTAGACGAATTTATTTATTTTATTGTCAGTTGGCAACATTGGAATAGGATACATATTTAGAAAGGATTGCTAGGCGGGAATTTGAACTGAAAGGGCGTTCAAATTCCCGCCTAGAATCCATGCACTTTTGATTGAGATTGAACATTGAAGTGAAGTGAAAATAGTAAAGTTATCTATCAAAAATTAAGACTTGGATTAAAGGTCTTGTTACCAGGCCATAAAAATACAAACAACAACATATTTAGAAATTACATGTATATGGCAATATTATTAATAAAAATAGTTTCATATCATTTATCCTAAGCCATCGTCGAATAAGTAGTGGTGCAGTACTCTAGGTGTGTAATACAATATAAATAGCATTTAGTAAAACAACAATGAATACTATTATCGTTTTTAGTTATTGTGATATCCGATCGAGTATTTTAACAATATGGCTGCTCAAAGCACAAATCAGTTGATTTTTTATAAGCAGCTAAATACCAAAGATAATTAAATTTACAAATAGTATCAATGCTACCCGTGTGCATGGCGTCGTGGAATACATTTTATCCTAAATGTCTGCTAGAGGTTTTCTAATTACTTGTTTTCACCCTCAAAATTGTATAAAACACAACCTCCCAGTAGTAAATTTTAGATAAGTAGCGTTAATTACTTAAAACAGTGTTCTTGAAACGTAAGTTCAAATTATTCCTAGACCAGAAGTGTATATTTTAAAACAAAGCTAAACCTTTTATTGGATGAATGGAGCATCATTGTGATGGGACATAAAAAAAGTTGGTAAAAGAAATACCATTTCAGACAATAAAAACCCCAGTCAACTGACTGAAATAAGTTAAAAAAACATTTCATCCATGAAAAGGTTTATTAAAAAGTACTTAGTAACAGTTGACTTTCTTGTTATGCATAAATAGGTATGCATTTAATAAAGTGTGTCTTAAACGCACTAGAAAATTATTGTGAGGTGAACGTGCAGTACCAGTAGTAACTTACAACAAAATGAACAAAAAAAACGTTCATTACTATATCAAAATCTCATACAATTACATTGTCGATAAAAATCAAGAATAATTCTTCGGAATTTATATTTATGTGTTAAATGGAAAACCTCACAGATCCCCACTGTGATAAAGTAGATACAAATAAATATTTTATTCCCCTAGTAAGTACTATATTTTTCGTGATTTCGTAGTACTTTCCACTTCCCTTGTAATGTAATATAAGGTACAGATAATTAAAAAAGAAACTATGGTTAGGAGTTCAGAGGTGAATAAAACATTACATGTATACGTATGTAGATAACAAGCACACTGCCTCTTGTGGCAACCAGTTTTATTTTAACCGCTAATAAAGCTAGCAACATTACGTTCCTCAAAATATTCCAAGCCGTGGAGTTGCCATTATAGAAAATGTTGGCTAGACCTAATAAAAGCTTTATTCCCCTCTGTTCTGAAATAATCGCCTCTCTCTACCAGATCTAGTGCAGTGTGTAGGAGGCTTTATATATATTTAAAAAACATTTATAAGTACTTATAGCAATGTGAAATTCATGTATTATATTAAGATAGTTTTGATATGCACAGTATGTGATGTATGTTTTTTATTTGAAATTATATAGTTTTAAATCTGCCCCCATTTTGGGTAATGTACATATTCGTATTTAATTTATTTTTATTCAAACAATTGTGCACTAATTATGTATTGTAATAATAGATTATGGAGGCGCTTGCGATATAATAGAATCAACAAACAAATATTAGAGAATGGTATACCAAATGTAGTGTATATTATAAAATATAATTGAATGAATTTGAACCACAGGAGTTCATCACGTTTTATTCAGCACCACAAATAACTGTATTTATTTTTTTAATTTTAACATTAGTTTAGTAAATAAATTATAAAGAGTTTGAAAGTAGCTAGCCCCTAAGGTTTTTGTTGTAAATTTTACTTATTAAATACTTTTAGTCACGGACTGTTATACAGTCATCCCTATTTTAATGCTATGTTATTTCAAAAATAACTTGCAAATACGTGACTATTCACGTTTAAGAATGAGAGGAGGAGTACCTTCCTCACAAATTAAACGTTTGGGTACCTACAAAAACCATGCTATGCCAAAAAACACGCATTACGCATAATTTGTGATTTTACCAGTTCTCAGTATGATGATATTGGAAAGCTTATTTTTGCAATAAAAAAATCTATGTCAGTGGTAGCCGAAATAAAATAGATTCATGTGGTCAAAGTACTCGCTAAATGTAATTTCTACACAATAATTATTTAGAAAAAATCTTATGAATTATACAAAATCTTGAACAGCTATACCAAAAAATCTAAGCATGGTTGGTATAAAGTTCCGTTATATGCATTTTTGGTGAAGAATGTTAGAAATAATTTTGTTTTAAGCGTATTATAGTTGACAAACGCCAAAAGCCGCGACGCGCGGCATAGAGCTAAGATACCAACACGTGTGTCGACTCGTGACCTATACGATGCATTTCACTGTAACACTTCAGATTTCATTCCATAATTTAGCACCAACGTATTATTTCCTTGACTATTTAAAAATGTTACAAACAAAGTCGTATGGTGTCGATACACATGTTTCAAGTTTTTAGATTTAAATAATAGTTGAATTTAATAATATATTCTGAAACGAATCTAAACGTGTTTAGATTTATTTATATGTAATTTAATATAATTCAAATGAAATTTATCATGGTGTTGTTTAGTATATTCTGAGTATTAAATGTAAGTATGTTTTGTAATTAAAATTAAAAAATGGTTATGTAATTTTTCAGTTGTGGTGATGATCTCTTATTGTATAAATATATTATTACAATTAGTAAAATTATGTTTCGGTGCTCTTAGGTTTTATTGAAAATAAAATGATTTCATTAGTTGAGCTGGTTTTACATCGGGCAAACGTCGTGGTACAATAAGCCATGCCACCGATACTATCAAGTGATGGGTTAGTTGAAAGGATTATTGGGTTATCTTGTAAGGCACATATTGCAAATATACCAATAACGAATTGAGCACTATAGTCCATTCGAGCTAAGAAAATAGTCACGCAGATCAAACCTACACCCTGACCAATCAGGTTCCAAGAAAGTATTGCCTATTACGAAATCTTGGAACCTGATTCGTCAGGGGGCGGGGCTTCGTCAGTGCGTCACTATATTTTAAGGCGTGTGGGCTATAGTAGTAGTATACTAAAACTAATTACTAACCAAACTGACGTTTGAATAGCCTGTGTACACCTTGATGGAAGCATTTGTGTCACAACTTTTTTTGTCATAATTATGCAAACGTCACCAAACCTGTTTTTGGGCAATATAGTGTATAGCTGTAGGGTAGGTAGAAAAGGACAGTTTTGTAGAATTTCAGCACGATCTTGTCTCTATGTAAAACTACCCATAAATATATTAAAAGTGTCAATTAGGATTTTATTTATTAGAAAAATATGAAATATCAATATAAATAAATCAAGATATGGGCAATGATTCTTTTCATTTAGCAAACTTAATGTTTGCGTTTAGTATAATATAAATATAACTATAACAATAAGAATCAGTTGTATGGATTTATCCACTACAGATAATTAAATAAGATGATCTGAAATGCAATAGATAACTAAACAGACAAATGAACTTACAAGACATGTAAAAGCTGGGTAAGGCGAATATACAAGAGAATGTCAAGTACCGTCCTTACTTTATACAGTCATCCTTCCCAGATTTTCACCTAGATTCAACTTTTATCATTATTATTGAAAAACAATTGTTTAGATTATAATCTAAACCTCAATTATTAAAAATATCCGGGAAATACTTATTAGTTTACTAGCAGTAGTTCCCGGGGCAGTATTTTTCTTACGCCAGGATCAAATTGAAATAGATAAAATACGCTTAAAAGATGTATAAATCAAAGGTTTTGACTTACGAGGTTTAAGCCTAGAACTCTCAAAATAGCTGGAGACCCTAAAGCATTATTTTATAACCATGCACCTTGCTTTAATTGATGGACAAATCCGGCGAGTTGCAAATAACAACTAGGTAGTGTGGCTCGTGAAGTACATTTAAAAGACTAGGTATTTAAATCCTTATACACAACTATAGTACATTTACTAATAGGATTCAAGTTTTTAATGAGACTACTGTAGGTGGGACTTTTTCTGAGTGGCAGCACTGAAATAGATGTGAAACTTCAATCTGAGGGCCTAGGTAGTGTAAGTTTATTTCACATTGACTTGATCGTCACGGTGACCGCATACAGCATTGCGCATGAACCTCACTGAAATCTTCACCAGTCGCAGTAGGTATATTACTTATTAAAGGCTCAATACACAAAATGCCCGAGTCGTATTTTACGTTCATTTGTCTGTAACTATAGATGGTGAGATTTATAGATTCCTATTAGATTAGGTAGGTACCTACCTATACTGTGCATTTTATCATTAGAAAGCCGGCTTAGGACATCTGTACTTGCTAAGAACTACCACTAGATAGGTATTAGTGGTATTTACCTAGTACAAAGTTATTCTGACAGTATGTGTTAAATGTTATAAGAGGCTCGTAAATAAATTCGTTGAAAATACGACACTCAGACTAACTACGGGAGCGACGGTAATGGGATATGTCGTGCGTTAGCGGTAAAACAGAGATAGTAGGTATACTACTGCAAATAACCTTATCAATTGGTCCGAATGTTCGTAAAGACAATGGTGCCATAATGGCTGGGATGTCTTAAATAAAAAGTTTCCAATATCTTTTTCGTTTCAATCAGATCTCTTTGC